AAGTATTATAATTATTAAATATTTTATTTATACATATACATTATAAACAATTCAAATACTACTGTAAAATATATTGGACAAACAACTATCTTTCTCTCCACTTCAGAGTTCAAATATCTAACATTGATTATGTAATAGTGAAAAGACACGTGAGGAATGTTGCAGCAGAAAAAGCCATTTTTATACACTCATCATCAACAATAAAATTTCAAATTACTTGCAAAAATACAATTGCAACAACTATTATTATCATTGGCGTGCGGTGCTAATAGTTGGAATAGTAACTTATACGATCGCCCTTTGAAGGAAATTAAAGAAAAACAGAATTGTACAATGAAATCAAATAAAAAAAATGCTAATCTGTTAAATAAGCCTGAGTGGTAAGTTGAATTTTCCGTGGCTATGTTGACACTTTTATATGTACAATCACTGCGCGCGAGAGCCGATTAATTATCCTTAATTACAATGTTGTTTTATTTTACTATTAACGTTTTTTTTTTCAGATTTTTTCTGTGAGCGAATATCGCAGAAAATAATACTAAATAAATTGAGAAACCAGCTCAATAACAAATGCAATTCGACATATTTTTATTAAATATTTTTATAACAGTATATATTATATTATCAACTTTTATACAAATAAAGGAGTAATGGAAAGTTGATTGACCGTAAATAAGACTATAACTTAATAACTGAAAGTGTTAAAGTAAGATTTAAATACTGTTAGACAATCATAAAAATAGTTTTTAATGATTTTTTTTTTTAGATATTTCTGACACTTTAATTACAATTCCCATACGCCACACGCCACATATCATCGGCTTTTACAAACTTTGATTATACATTTAAAGAAAAATAATAATAACAACAACGACAACAACAAAAATGCAAATACAAATTGAATTATCAGGTAATATTTACATTATATGGGTTCTATAATAATCTATCACTTCTCGCAAAATGATATATAGGAAGTAATAGATAAAAATTAATTGAATTATCTGAAGTCAATATTGCCCGAAGCCATTTTCATATAATAGCTTCTGCGGAAGCCTTAGTAATTTCAAACTGCTTTTCCATCCAATAATACAAAACTGTTACCACACTAGGCTTGCGATTACCCGTAAATCGAAACCATGTGATTGCTAATGACTTGGTAAGATTGAAAGCCAAGCGGACCTATGTAAGATAAACTACTGACATACAAACGAGCAGTTATACTATCTATATAGCAAGAAGACTATAACTCTTGGAGAAAATCAAATAGGAAGAGAAGGGCCAGACGGGGAAGAATAGAATAATCAAATATTTCAAAGTATTTCAATTTATTTCAATTATTTATTTTTTATATAGCAATTACTTTCAATTATAGCATCATTAATACAACTCGTTCGTCGATTTATAAGAAATATATAAATTTATCCAACAACTTATCGACAATCATAAATTATTGTAAAATTGTATAATAAAGCGATTATGCTGATTGTTTGTATTATTGTTTCTTATTGCATTTAAGATGGAAAAGATTGAATATTTTGCGTTCAAGAAAAAAATATAAATTTCCTAAGCACTTATGACATTTAATGGGCAGAGTGATTTACGTAGATAGTTGAAGCCAATAACACTAAAACTATGTAGTGCTCGCAAAAATATTTACAAATTCTATAAAAACGTGTAGTTGAAGAAAAATTTCGAATTGAAATCGAATGTAATAATAAACCAACAAATTTAATATTCTATATATTCTATATATATTTTAATATAATAATGCATACATAATCATCTGAAAAATTGTACAAATTTAAAATCACTTTAAAAAAACTATCGTGTATTCGCTAAGAGATTATTAATAAAATATAAACATTAAATGTTTGATTTTTAAAATCGAAATCAATATAATCAGTTTTGGAATATTAATTAGTAGATTAGTGAAATTAAAATTAGTAAATTTAAAATCTCACATCATTCGATAATTTAATTCTAGAAATAACATTTGATAATACAACATTCCCATTTTACAAATATAATCATAAATTTTTTTATTAAAATCACAAAAGACTGTACTAAGAAAAGTGTCCAAGTGAATTCTAAATTTCAAATAATAAAATTGAAAAAAAAATCACGAATAATCTTTAGTTAAAATACCATTGTGATTTATGTGATTGAAACAAATGTGCATTTAATTTATTTATCATATTAAGACGGAAGAATTTGACTTCATTAACGCAACTTTTACAAAAATATATATTGAATTGTAGCATATATTGCTCATTTATTAAATTAAATCAGTATGTAAATTTACACGAATCTATAATATTAAAATCACGCAGAGTTAAAAATAACATAAGTTGAAAATAACAGAATATTTTTAATTAAATAACATAATAATTTCAAATGCATCATTTCAAATCTATTATTATTTGATTATTATTCGTTACTATGATTGAATTTAATTTTAAGGAATATTTCAAACTTAACACAACATTGTGTTAAAATATTTCTTTAAATGATATAATCCAATTGAGATTATACACAAACATGAAACTTAATGGGAAATATTAAGGGGACCGTAAACGAAATTTTCATGTTGCCGCTGAAAAGACGATATTGTTAATTAACTGGTTAAATCATGAACGTCACACTATGAAATATATCTTAACCTTAAATTTATTTTACATTCTTAACAAAATATTTAATAAATTGAACTGAATGCAATTGAAATAAAGAGTCTTTTTTGGTAGGCGTAGTAACTTTTTTCATCGAAAGAACAAAACATAATTTTGAAAAATTATCAACAAAATTATGCGCAATTTAAATTACGGTATGTTGAATTAAGTAATATTGTTAGAATATTGTAAATAATATTACATATTGATTGTAAATATTGAAATTCAACATTAGAAATTGACCAAAATATGAATGCAATATCAAATGAACAATATCAATTAATATTGCAAATACTGTCGGTTTAAGAAAGAAAGTTTAAGAGTGAAAAATAAACATATTTTCTGAAAATATTCAAATGTAATATTTTTATTAAAACTCCAATAAGATGAGATAAATCAATTTTTAATGTAAACATAAAACCTCTCTTAGAGCATTTTAAATAATACAAAAAAAAAAAAAAAAAAAATGCTATTGTTACGGTGTTAGAAAATATTACAGACTTGGCTCTTCGCATTTTTTTCTCAACTCTATAATATAAATAAATAATAATTAGCTAATCCAGCCTTACTTTCAACAGCTTTAATCGCAACCACTGATCTACGATGCTACATTAAATAAATGAAGATTTATCTGTAATTTTATTAAATCTCTATTGTCGCGTACGGGTGTATATATCTATCCGTACCGAGTATATGTCGAATGATATATAAATTGCATCCATACACGGATACACGGGGACGTGGATGCTGCAAGCGATGCACGATCGGATGTGTCCAGAGAATATGAGAGAACGAACCCGATATTGCAATACTTGACTCTACAGATTGGATAACGCGTTACCCCTAAGCGCAAGATTAGCA